AATACACTAAAATATAATTTATACAAACTCAACTTTCTTGTATATAATTTAGGTACAATTCTAGCAAATGTACTCTTAACGTATATTTTACCATACCCCTCGCAATAGATCTTTTTCACGTATAAACTTATCATATATGTAAATATTATTTAATATAATATAATATAATACCATACGTGGCAAACAAAGTAAATGTAAACATATCTATATATAACAAATTATTTTATTTTACCTTATTTTTTAACAATATTAAAAACTAAGTGATAAATATTAGATTTTATTTTTGAAATTTTATTTTATTATTGTGTATTATAATATTGAAAATAATGAAACTACATACATTTTGATAAGATATTGAATTTTATTAATTTATTTATGGTTTGTTTTATACATTGATAATGACATAAAGAATATATTTGTATTCAAGAAATTTAAAAAAAAATAAGTAATGTTATGTATTATATATTATATATTATATATTGGTAATGTTATGTTAGATCAACATAATATGTCATTTGATACTTTCAAAGTAAATTATTACTTGGAGTTTTTAAATTTAATATTCTAAGAGAATATTATTGAAATTTTCAGGTTTAAATTTCATGCCTGAAATTTTATCAAATATTATATTTTTTCTAAAGTTATGTCATTTTAATATAGAAAACTAATAGTTTTATGAGAATTTCTTAACTGAACAACCTAAAAAATCCACAAAGAGAATTTCCTCTAAAGTATTTGCCGTTTTACCGTTTAGAATTGTTTGGTTTAAAACTATTTACGTAGAGTATAATCTAATATATTTAATGATATGTATACCGGGCTTACGTAATACAATTTTCTTTAATATGAAATGGTTTTAAATCTCATAAAACTTAAATATTTAATTTATTTTTAAAATTATTTTCGATAAGCGTATTCAGTATTGAGGTGCTTAAATATTTTAATCTAAAATTTCAGGTTTTAAAAATATATTTATGAAGGTTTTTTTAAAATGCGAAACTCCTAAAAATTACTAACATTTTTAAAAATTTGCTTGCGTTATAGTTAGTATGTTTTAAAACTTACATTTACGCATAAAACGTAGGAACGAAAAAATTTTATTTATAAAAATGCAAATTTCATTCTACGATGGTTTAATTGGTAGTTTAATAGAATAAAAATGTTATATTTTGTTAAGTCTTTTGATAAAATAATATTTTATTTTATTTTTATCAAGGTGTTAATAAATTCATATTAAACAAATAATAATTGTTGGAACAAAACATTTACAGACCATTTTGTAAGTAAAATTAAATTTTTTCAACTTTAATTGTTTTTAACATTAATGAAAAAACAAATTTGATTATTTAAGTAAAGAGTTGTCGACATTAGTCCTATTATATTATTATTATATAGCAGCGTTGGAATTTTACACAATGTTTTCGCTGCATTAAACAAGTTTTTTTTGAATATTAATATATGCACCATTATTTTATATTCTTTTACACCTTAATAATCGGATAATAAAACTGAGCATAGATTTCAATGAAAATTCACTTCTAACAATCAAAATAAAAATTCACCCGTAGAAAAGGTTTATCACTCATTTTAGTGAATTGTATTGTTTACAGTGCAGATATAGTGTATTCAATTTATAGTTCACTAATACTAACTGTTTATTCTGAAACTTTTTCTGTAAAAATACTAATTCGTTTTATCGGATTTTGCGAGTCAAACGTACACTACAGTATATTAAATTATAAATTAATTTTCATACGAATAGTCAATATACGAAGCGTGGTGTTATTGAAATAAAGTTTATTGCGAAAGCGTTATAGTTTGATAGTAGTCAGTTCAACAAACCAGCAAAACGATTTATATATATATATATATATATATATATAAATTTACCATATTAACCAATTGGTAATAAATTGGATACTGGAAATTGTAAGTTGTAATCTTTTGAAACCCTTAAAAAAAGGTTTTTGAATTCAGAATAATAGGCTGCCTAATACACTGGATCCATAAAAATTGTTTTAAGTGCTATATTTTAAATTATGAAGTCTTGAATATTAGTCCTTACAAATTATTATGAATTTTTACTAATTTTTTGTAGAAAAAATAAGATAAAATCGAAATATATATTTCTAGGTGTAACTAGGTTGACGGACCTCTGTTGTAGTAATGCCTATAACAAGTTAAGGTATTTGAAATCCTGCCACGGATTATAAACTATTTTCTCGTTCGAAGTATGAATCGCGTACAAATCTACAAGAATTTAAACTTTGGGCTGTATACTTGTATAGACGAACTGAAGGGTAGGTACGTACTCTTTATAAAGGTACTCGGTACTCTTTGAAGAGATGATGAATTTTCAAATACATTATAACCTCTGTCCCACTTGTTGCAAGAAAAATGTGACTGAGGTGTGTATAGGTATTTGTGATAGTTTTACACAGCCACAATTAAGATAATGCATCGAGTTCCTCTCCATCGGTTTCTTATAATAATCATAATAAAAATAATAATACACTGGCAATTAAGAATTCCGTCAGACACGGTTAATAACATAAGATTATCGAAAAGAACCAGCGAGATGAAGATTGGTGATTCGGTAAACGTTGTGCTCTGCAGGTACTGTATGCTTTTTCTTTTTTCGGATGCTCATTTACTATACTAATGCGTGTATAGTGATGAATGAACGTGCGCCGTCGACCGAATGTTTTGTTGATCGTTTCTCACTCTCAAGACGAAACGCTATCGTTTTCCGTAACGGGCTTAAAACAATTTACACAAAGGGCGGCCGAGGACGTCCGATGAGCTCTTATACACTCCTTCGCTACCACTTATATATATATATATTAAACAACGTATCCGGTCGGTCAGAGGCAGAGCGCACGGCTGTCAATAAATAAAACAATATAATAATGTTTGTTGAGTTTTCAATCGTCTGTCGTCTTTTTATATTTTTCCTTGCCAATTTTTCAATCGACCTGTCACACGGTGCTTTTAAAAACTTTTAACTACTCACCGTGAGCGGTGCCCGACACACGCAAGAGAAATTTAACGGGCATTATTTTTATATTTTATATCATTATATCGTTCTTTGCCAAAACAAAAACACCGTTATGGTAGCACGGTCGAAAACATACCATTGATGGAGAAATTAAACGAATTACAAACACTTTTTATTTCAATTTCCATGCTTCCCAACTTTTGACGTGTTTATTAGTGTAAAAACACATATTATTTTATCCTTTATCCCGAGTTCAGCTCAATCATGTAAATCCCATCAATAAATATGGCCTGCCTATGCACTCAAATTACATAAACCCAGTTATACATATAATAGCTTTCATATAAGTTATTGAATCCAGTAATTATTTTTTATATTTCAACAAATTTGATTCACACAAGAAGATATTCTCATCATAAAAAGGTCACAAAAATATATTTTTAATTTAACATTATAAATTCTATGACTATAATGTAATCGTTTAAATTATTTATATTATTTCTTGTGAGTGTATGGTAGTAAATTGGTTTTTGCATTTTTAATCGGAATTAATATAAATAGATATTTTTTCTCAGTAAATTTGAAATGAAATATTATTAAAATAAAGCTTTAATATTCAATGTATCAACTTAGATAGAGATCAATAGTTTTTTAGGAAATATAAGGAAATGTAAGGAAATGTAGAACACATTTAGGTTAGGTAACTGAATTCAGAGGTTTTGCGTCAATCATTGTGACAACTAAAATGTGTATGTAAATAAACGTACTGAGAGAGTATAAGGTTTTTATATTGAATCTATTTTCATAATATATATCATAAATCGAAATTACGCAACATATCAATAGTAATTTAATGATCTTTAAAATCGGTGGTTTATTCTTAAAGGATATAAAAATATTTAACATATTAAATTCGTTGATTATTTAACATTAGATTGTATTGTAAATCAGTCGCTTCATAAATTTAATTAAATAAGTTGATTGGTATTTGTTTGAAAAAGAATAAAAAGTTTCAATATAAGTATAATTTTTATATAAATATTTATTAAATACAAAAATAGGATAATAATCTTTGAGTCAGGATTTAAATGTGGGCAATTAAATTGTTAAACAAAACAATCGATACATTTGCGTACATTGTATTGAAATTTTAATTTAGCTGTTCACATTAGTCTATGTTATGCTACTATTTAATAGTGTAACATTTATGAAGTATCTATTGATTATCACTTTTTCCTTCGTATATAATTTTCCATTTAATTCAATTACTCAATTTACGTCACTTGAAACTACGCAACGAGTGCTTGTGATAAAAACTGACGAAAAGTTTATAAAAAAATACCTGTAACTTAATATTTATTTATTTTAGTTTTTGTTTATTTTATTTAATATATTTATTATTTTTGTGCGAATTGTAATCAAGACGTGTGGTTTCTCTGCTTCCTAAAATACGCAGAAATTATACATCATACTCGTAGGTATGCACATTAAAATTTGATTTATTTATATTCTCAAGTATGGCCTCCTCTGGTGAATCGAATCGAATTACTGCGGAACTTGAATTATTTCAACGTCTAAGATACGGCAGAGAATAAATGCTCATAATTCACGTCGGTAAACTTTTAAACGTCCTTCCCATGTACTCTGCAGTACGCCAATGTAAGAAATAAAAATATTTATAAATCTATTAATGTTACATTATTTCCGACGAATTATTATGCGCTCAATATGATTAAAATATAAACATTAAACAAAACTAACTATTGTTAACGAACGAAATATATTTTGATACCTTTCAAACAATATTATGCAGCCAATAACTTTGTTTTATTGCTTTAAATAATGTTTTAATTGTTTTGTTCTCAGAAATTCAATGATATTTTCCTTTCAAATTCATATTACAATAATAAAAGAGGACTAAGAAAATATACATGTACTAATTGAATTGAAATTTTTTCTAAGATAAATGCTGTACTTTTTTTTTTTTTTTTTTTATTAGCTTTTAGTATACAACTATGATAGCTCGACATTTACAGAGATTATAAATAAAACAATATTATACATTAAACATTAGTGTACATATTAAATAATGAAGCCAGCATCCAATATAAAGGAAATTATTAATTTGATGGCGATAGTGGATTTTGTGTTAAGTATGGAGTGGATATTTAAGGGGATATTAAGAGTCTTAAGTTCATTAATTAAAATAATGCGATTGAGTTGAAGTGCAGGGCAGTCGAGTAGAATATGGGATAAGTCACAAATGCATTCATTTAAGTGAAGAGTACAGAACGGAGAATCATTAAGGCCAAGTTTGAAGGAGTGACTAGGAAGAAGGTGATGTCCTATGCGTAGCCTATTAAATTGTACTATATATGGTCTATGTAAGTATAAGTTATTGAACCAGGTTGTTTTTAGGATATTTGGTGTAATATTTCTGTATCTTGAGGCGAATTCGGCAGGTAGATTGTTCCAGAGAGAGAACCAAATATTAGTAGAGTATTGTTTTATAAGCGATGTGAAGTCAGAATGGGGGAGTTGAGAAATAGAAGGAAAGATGAGATTGGATGAAGATTTAGCAAGGTGGTCTGCAACTTCATTACCATGTATGCCTGTATGACTAGGAACCCAAAGAAAGTGGATGTTATAGTTAGTTTGATTTAATGTAAAAATAAGGGATTTGATGCGAAGAATAAGTGGAGACAGGTGAGAGTTAAATGGGTTTGAATTTAAGGCTTGGAGGCACGACATAGAATCTGAGACAATTAAGTAATTGTTGGGGGGAAAATTTTGAATAAGTTTTAGGGCTTCGGTGATGGCATAACACTCAGCTGTAAAGGAAGAAGACGTAGGAGGAAGGTTATTGTTAAAAGAGAGCTGTAGATCAGGAATATAGAATGCATATCCAGCGGAGAGAGGGGAGACTGATCCATCAGTATAAATCGCGATGAAGTTTAAAAAACTTTCATTAAGATAATTCAAAACGGCTGCATTAACCGAGGAAGAAGACATAGATTTAAAATCATTGGAGGATAGATCTAAAAATTTATTATCAGAATGAATCTGAGGGGAAAAGATAAGAGAGTCGTAAGATTGCTCGTAAAGAGGGAGTTTAGTTGAATTGATAATATATTGGTGGAAATTTGAGATAGAATGTGCTATAATTGATAATACGGGCATAGATTTAGGAACATATCGCCAATTAAGGTACAGTGAGTAATAAATGTCAAAGATACGGTGATCGCTATAGGATAGTGATTTCAAGAGAAATTTGCCGGCAAGCCAGTGGCATCTGATATTAAATGGAGGGCAAGTAGATTCAACTTCCATAGCAGGGCAAGGTGTAGAACTGACGTAACCCATAATGGTTCTGATACATGAGGCTTGGAGTTTATTGATTTTTTTCCAATTAGAAAAGGAAGCCGATCCGAAAAGAAAGCATCCGTAATCAATTTTGGAGCGTATAATAGACAAATATATAGATAATAGACTTGAAGGGTGAGAGCCCCCCCAAGTACCAGTTACCGATCGGAGGAAGTTGGACCATCGAGAAACAAACGCTGTGAGAGTAGAAATATGTGGAATCCAGCGCAATTTGGGGTCGAGAGTGATGCCAAGATAGGTAATATTGGGAACAAAAGGGATAACATAGTTGTTGAGATATGTATTAAGGTTGTTTAAATATCTACGACGAGTGAAAATGATCGATTTGCATTTTTCAGGGGCAACATCAAAAGACACTTTGATTAGAATATCATTCAGATCTATCAGGGCAGAGTTGAGGCTATCGATAGCAAGATTAAGATGTTTATTAGAAGAGAATATTACTAAATCATCAGCGTATATAAGACATTTATGACCAGACTGAGAGAGATGCTTTTCAACAATACTCATATATACATTGAATAGGATTGGGCTGAGGCAGCTACCTTGTGGAAGGCCAGTGAAAGTGGATCGAGTGTTTGACGATCTGAAGGGAGAGAAGAAAACAAGTTTTCTGAAATTGAAGAGAGCAGATAGAACATTACAGAACTTAGGGGGGACATTTAATGAGAGAAGATAGGTAATGAGGGTAGGAATGTTCACGGAATCGAAGGCGCCGCGGATGTCCACAAATGTGGCGACAAGGAATTCCTTATTATTAAAAGCATGGTAAATGTTACCAATGAAAGTCGAGAGGCATTCCATAGTACCTAAACCCTTCCTAAAGGCAAACAAGTTTGCAGGTAGAACAGAGTTGGATTCAAGCCACCAATAAATGCTGTACTTAATACAGTGTTTTGATTTATACCTATTTTAATTTCAACATAATACTTAAATAAATAAATATCATATTGTTATTAAAACTCTTGGACAATACAATCATACACAAAATTTAAATGAAAAAATAGGAACACAAGTTATACTACTAGTCTTGTTAACTAGTAGGGTACTAGCCAAAGTGTACTGTATATTATAATCATTTTTAATTTTCTATATTATTATTTATCGTTAACATGAAAATTACAATTATACTCGGCGTAGATAACTTCTATGCACATTGCGCAAAATACTGTAGATGAGATAAAGAAAACCTGGCACCTAATTATAATATATATTTCATTCTATATTAAACCGTTAACATGATGATATCACGTTTTTAATAAGTGAACGACAGAGTTCCCCCTACTTCCCCCATAAATATTTGACTTTTGTTGTAATCATTACAATAATCCGTTACAATTTCTCTGCCGGAAAACCTCCAATTCTATCGCGTGCGTTCTACACGATTATAATAATTATTATTATCATAAGCAATGTCGGTCCTATACACATATTATAAAATATCTACTAACATACGTGCTTTCAACGCAAGAACATAAGGCAGAAAAGTATGGTCATAAAATGTAATTTTTAAATATCAATACATAACGATGCTGTACCGAAAATAATGTAGGTTTTAATAAATTCCGTTTGTAATAGTAAAATAATAATAAAAAATAAAAAATAAAAAAATAAAAATAAACCTATTAAAATAATTATTTTAACGAAACGTTTTTCGATGGTGAAAATTTATAATAATAATTGTGTCTTGAAATTAGCAAAAAATGTATACGATTGAGATGTAAAGTAAATCTATAAATCATTGTGAGCAGTGATTTAAATTTTCACTTTTCTTATCAGAAGGTGAGAGTAATTATATACATATTAAATACTTCATAACAAATGATTTTATCAGGATCGACTTCTAAAATAAAGAAAATTAAATTAATTTGATGAAGATTTTTGTTTGGAGAATGTAATGAGGTATGAATTGAAAAATTCACAAATTCGTTTATTTTTAGTAAAAAAAACTGACAAACATGTTCGATGAGAGTTTGAAAAAAAAATTATCGATCATATCGTTATGATAAGACTATCCAATATAAAAAATTAAATAAGCGATAACAATCCCTGAATTTCTGTAGATTAGAAAATTAAAAATTGATATAAATGATCGTTATGTGACGAATTTATTGATTTGAATTTTAAATTCAAATCATCCTTCTCGTTCTTTTCTCTTAACATGTAAAATTTTAGAAATAATTAACCATTCTACTGTAGTTCTTGGATGGAACTGTTGAAAAAATGTTGTTGATGCTGCACCGTACATGGTAAAAACTAAACTGTAATAGTTTTCTATCCTAATTCAATTCAAGTTACATGTGTAAGCTCATATGTTTTGTAGGGTTGCTGAAAAAGTCAAATAAATTTATCCAGATATAAATTAATTAATAATATAAAAATATTATTTCTAAAATAAATGTCTCTCTGTTTTAGCAAGTATTAACTAGATTAAGAATCGGTAGGAATTTATTATTTTTAATTGTAATCATCTCTAATGTTTAAAAAGAGTCACAGAAGAATTAAGTAATTAAAAGTTTACCACTCAGTCTATATTTAAATGTAAAACAGTTTTTGATTTGGAAATTTTAGAAAGTTAAATAATTTTTATTAAAACTGCTGGTAATAATCATTATAAGTATAGAAAAGTCAAATGTATCTCTAGTTGATTCAATAAAAAAATTGAAAATACAATTGCTAAACCTCAAAAATTACCCGGAAAAAATGGAGATGAAATAAAAATAAGAATTGACTAAGTTCAACAAACAAATCAAGAGCTCATAATTTTGAAAAACTTTGTGAAAGTTTTGAATGAAAATAATGGATTCAACATATAGATAATTATTCACTGTTTATGATAATCGATTTGCAAAATGTGCCTGTAACTTCAATTGACGTCAAACGATCTCCAATATTTGTAAAAAAATTTAAACAGACCGTCATACCAAAGTAATACCAAAACGCATGGAAAAAATATACTGTTTTTAATTATTGTTTAAATTAAAAAATAAATAAAAAAAATGTTAAGTTGAAGTTTTATTTAAGTTGTATTAAATTTTATTATACGAGTATACTAATTTATGTCTGTTTTATTATTACTTCGCACTTAATTATTTTGCTTATGAATGTATATTTTTAATATAAGAGAATATATTAATAAAAAATAATATTTTTTGAATATTTTATTATGGTCTTAAATGAATATAGACGAATTTTTTAAATTTTTTAAAGAATATTAGCATCATATTTTCGATATTTGAAGAGAATATTATTTCTGTTTCTAGTAATGATCAAGTGCTTTGATATGATTTGCTTCTTTAGACTTGGAGAAAAATTAAAGTATACCAACAACTTAAATATTATATTGATAGAGGTATATACGCATAAGATAGCATTTGTGACTCGACAATCTTAATATTTACCCGCTCTTTACGCAATGTACGTGATATTTCAAATCAACGGAGCAAATTATGTGCCTATTTTTTATGGCATGGGGGTCATCATTAAGGTATTGTTGGGTTTATTTTTGAACGGTAAACATGACTCAAAGTGCAAAAAATTGTGCGTATACCAAATCTATTTTTGTATATGACGTAATCGACCAATTTGCCAATCCAATTGAGTAGGACCATAAATGCGTGTGTGTGTAAGAGAACAGAGGATTCTATTTAGTTTTCGAATTTTTGTACGGTGTTTAAGATTAAATATGAAATATGCAGGTGCGTTGACCCAGCACCCGCACTTTCGAAATCATGAATTGTAATCAAGCAGTATTATGTACTTTATTTTGTACAATTTTGTACAACCCCCAAACCTCCCCGAAATTCAATTTCATCTTACGGGTGTTATCGTGTATCTTTTATCAATATTGTATCTAAGATACTTTTATCGAATATACAGCACTTCCTTTTAGGTAGAAGTAGTTGCTGTTGATTAACTTATATAATTCAAAAAGAATCAATAGAATATATTAGGTAAGTTCGCAGATATCAAGATTTAAAATTATGTCAATTATATTAAGTAGGTGCATTATTTTAATAATAGTTAAATTAATCATTTATATATTTATATATTAATATTATATTACATTTTTACATTTTTTAATGAATGATTTATTTTCTGATAAGAATAAAAAAAAAAATCGAAGAGTATCTACATTATATGCAGATACATTGGTACATGTATATGTCTTGTTTCTACTAAACACAGTTAACATAAGAATGTCAACGCCGATTAGGTATAGATACTAGGATTAAGCTGTAGGTAACTTTTTTAACACGTGTAAAAAATAAACAAGGTTCAAAGACCGCATGTTAAATATTTTTTTGAATATACATTTTATTTTAATTTAAATTTCAGAATCGTCATTTATAACACTTTTAGTGATTAATAATAAAGAACGTTATAGTGAAATACAAAGCGTACTCACGCGTTTCAAGCTGCTCGATGTGTCCATAAATAATACTTAAAAAATATGTATATTAATATAAAATAATATAAATATGTTTACGAAGAGTAATAAGCCAATTAAAATTATAAATACCGATAATTCCCACCTGCTGACATCGACGAACAAACTATTAACCAATATCAGTTATATTTATATAATTTATAATGAGTTATTTTTATCGTCAATATAATTATTATTCAACTAGCTATACCTAATGTTACTTTTTTACTAATTTTTCTCAAAACTACTCCATTGTTGCTTATTGCCTTTTGGCTTTGGAAGGCAGTATACATGTCAATAAACATCGATTTATATTTGTTATGCTGTAGGTATACCGTAAAAGTTTTTATTATTTTAATATTGTCTGACCAATTTCTTGTCATCATCACAGTAGGAGTTGTAATTTAATATTGTTATCTTAATGTTAAGAATAAAAATATAATATTGCATTTCTAAAAATAGTCTAATACAATCTGATTTTAGGTTGTACAATAATAAATACTATTTATAACCAATGAACAATGATACTAAGTAGTTGGTACGTCGTACGTGGGCATTATGCTGCATTGCTACTTTCAACATTGTCGACTAATTCGTCTATTCATGATATCGCGCTTCTAAGCTTTACTACAACAAAATGTATCGAATATTTTGACTCATAGATTAATTTTATTTTAGTAATTTACTATAATTTTGTCTATAATAATATGTATTTGATGTTAATATGAACTTGAATGTACCTATCGCCTAATGTATTAATGTACTTTTGTTTTTCAAAATTTTGATCATTTAAATAAGTTACATTTATGTCGTGTATTAGGTATAATTTCCTTGAATTAAAATATTATTAAAATATAATTAAAACTTTTGTGTATTACTCTAATAAGTGATGACAAACGATAATAGAGAAAGAAAACAAAATAATTAAAATGAAAATATTAATGATGAAATTTTAAATTTGAAAGATCAAATTACTTTGGATGGCTATGCTATTATTGTATTAGTATAGGTATCTAAATAATATAAACAATGCAATGTATGATTCAACATACCTACAGCTTTAAGAAAAAAAACCAAAATACAGAATGTCCATCAATGTGTTAACAATAATATTGTTGATCAAATTTGCATAAAATAAATTTTAAATCTAAAATAAACGTATTATATTTTTTGGAAATTACAAATTATACTTAATAAAAGGTAAAATTATCATACATACAACTCTATTTAATTTTATATTTTTATTTTTTATCAGTCATATATTGACTATTTTTAAACTCTTTTCTAAAAGAAGAAATCTTTTGTTTGTTTACATACAGTCAATTGAATTAAATTAATTGTAGTAGGTAGTAGGTACCTATTATAGGTAATTGATAAATTTAAAATGTAGATCCTACACATTTAATATGATTGAATAGGTACT